ATGCTGCCGAGGCCTCGCATGGAGTGGGGTGTGTATTTTCCAGTTGCTCTGCGAGTATCTAACGGAGGCCGTTCATAAAGCTCCGTCTGCTAACGGCACGGTCCACGGGTTTCCGCTGCGTACCGTACCGTATCGGCGCGGCAGGTGCGTCCGCCCCTGATAGACCGTCCGGTGACGCGACGCGCCTGTGCTGAGGACAGGACGCGCCTCTGCCCTCCGTAGTCCCTAGCCTAGTCCGGTGCCGCGCTTGTGCTGAGGACAGGACGTGCCTCTGTCCTCCGCAGCCCAGTCCGGTGACGCGCCTTTGCCCTCCCTAGCCCAGTCCGGTGACGCACCGCATCTACTCCGGGGCGGACACTCTGTCCTGTTACGACACAGCTGGGCCCGTTACGCAATAGATAGGGGACGGGGACACCGCCGGGCGCGGCCTTGAGATAACAACGGGACCGGGGAGGCGGCCTCAGACGGGTGGCCTACCGGTCTGTGGTTCGGCGGATGGTGGCGCCGTGGAGGTTCTGAGAGCAACAGAGGAGGACCCTCGTCTCCGTTTTGTCATGTTGTGCGGAACCTATTACTGAATAGATGAAAATTGGCATTTATCTCAACTGTTCGTCTTCATGGTCAGCAACTCCGATGAAGATGTTCCTTGCGCCATTCAGGTCCCCGAACAATGCTGCTATGACATGGTCCAAGTGTGCTGTAGACACACCTTGGCGCTCTGTGTCTACAGTCAACCCGGTTCCCCCGTGGCGCTCCCGGCCCGATTGGTTCGCTGTCGGCCGTCTGATGATAGCTGTCTCACTGCCCAGCGCCGGACGCCGCGCCGGCCGTGTGGGGTACGGTGAGAGTGGCCTGCTGATACGCGGGGTATTGGCTGCTGGCTACCCTGACACAGCGGGTGACTGGCTGCTAGCTACCCTGACACAGCGGGGTATTGGCTGCTGGCTACCCTGACACAGCGGGTGACTGGCTGCTAGCTACCCTGACACAGCGGGGTATTGGCTGCTGGCTACCCTGACACAGCGGGTGACGTCTGGGGCCCGTGGTCACACTGTCTAGTCCTGTGGCAGGTCTGAGATCTGTATGTGCGGACGCAGCTGGTAGCTGCTGGTTATATCCGCCCCGTTCTGATCAGTGATCAGAACGGAGCCTGAACGGGGACTGACCACCGCAGTGTGACACGCGGTGGTCAGTCTTCCGCGGGTCGGGGCTAATCCCAGCTGAATACTAGCCATACCCGTCCGTCCCCCGGGCAGGACGGTGGCGGGACGGGCCCACGGACCGACCCGCCGCGACGGGCCGACTCGGCTCGGCTGGCCGGGCGCCAGGTTAGAGGGTCGCGGCGGACCTTTACCAGTCCTGCGGCGTCATCAGGGGCCCCCTGATGACGCCGCACGGTCAGAGGTGACCCCTGACCGCGCCACTGCACTGGGAGGTCACCCCTGACGGCGCCACAGGGTCAGATAGGTGACCTATGTGACACTGCAGGCTCAAACTGTGGTTCCTGATCATACACCACCACATCATATTGCCGGGATAGTCCATCACTCTCTGGGCCGCTCTTGGCCAGCCGCGGTCCCCTCTTCTGGCGGCTGTTTGACCCTGACACCGGCAGCCGGGCCGGCTGGGCCGCTGCCAGTGGAGGAGAACCCCCGTCCTGCCGCCGCTCCCGGGCACTGTCGGAACCTTGTCCTTTTCAGAGGTTCAAACGGGACCAGCCCGCCCTGGTTGATACCCGCTCACCCTGTTAGCTGCACAGGGGCAGAAATCTTGGCTCAGAGCTAACGGCCCGGTCAGTGGGCCGTGTGGATTACCCCCTCCGCCCCATCCCACCCTTACCCCCACATCCGCCCCACTTCTGTCAGTCAGACTCCGCCTGCTCCCACTTAGATCGAGTGCGACGCTATCAGCAAAGTGTGGAGCCGTTCTGCTGATAGTCCGTTTGAGAACATCCGCTGATAATTAGCATTACGTAAACGCAGGGTGTGCTTCTTATTGACTCTCAAGGCATCGTTTGCGCCTTTGGTCTCTGTACCGAATAGGTGCCGTTCCTCCCGTGGATGATCGGTTCATTGAGCGTCTGAAGCGTTCCGTTCCTCTGTTTTATCCCGGTGCGGGGGACCTCAGTTGGCCCGGCCGGGCCAGGTCACCCCCTCCTCACCCCCTCCCCCGCCGGTAGACCGTGCCAGAGTAAAAATACCCACCCTTGGCTGTCGCCGGCTCCTGTCGGTCACGTGACCCGTGTGGTGGGCGGTGGGCGGTGTCACGTGACCCTCCGTCCGGTACTGTTCGAGTGATGGGGACCGGGACAGGGATGGGACAGAGCTGGGATAGGTCTGGGACAGGCTGGGATGAGGACCGGGACATGTTGAAGGAAGGTGGTTAGACAGGAATGGAATGTGATGAAAACGGGAGCCGGGCTGTGATGAGATGGCTCATGTGAAGGTTTGAAATGCTCCCGAAAATTTTAACAATAACATGAAGGAGAGGTGTCTTAAAGGTAGTGTGCCAGCTTTCTTGGACCGTATGGAGTTAATGGCCCAGATAAGGAGAACCGGATTTTTAGAACTTATCCATACCTTCAAAACTCATGGAAACGTCTTAAATTCTTCAAATTTTGAGTACCCCAGTGCGAAATTCGCCCCGACGGGTTGTCGGTCGTACCCCAACCACATTTCACACCACTATGAACAATAAATGCACACACTGAAATCGCTATTACCGATATGCTCATCCAATCAAGTTTCGATAAACCCGTTCATCATCATCTCCTGCGGTTTCGAACACGCCTGTTAGGTGGCTTCTGATGCTCGTCGAGGTCGGAATTTCCAAATACGCGTGGTGCGTCGGGCCGCGCGCTCTGACTTCGGCCAAGAAAAATGCGTCAGCTGATCATTGTCATGTCTGCCACTTGCGTGTGGTGAAATGGGGTCATAACTTATAAGACGGCTTTTTCATATCAATTATTTTACATAAAACCATATTTCAAACCATAAATAATGTTCGACAGCCAAATAAAAGAAACAATACCAATACGGGCTTACAGTTTAAGGCTCGACATTGTGTTGTCTACGATTAGACAGCTGATAACTCATTCCCGTACGTCGTATGGTCGTAACACTATAATGACCTTTGCTTATTGTCACAAGTGCGCCGCATTCGCGATTGTTGCCCGACGCCTGTTTGCAGGTGAGCCCACTACAGTTGTTATACATATCTAAAAACCGAAAAACTTTTAGGCGAAAAAGGCACTATTCCAGGCCCATTTTTGATTTTTTTTGCGATATTAGGTAAAAACAGAAGCTTCTTATCCTAGGAAAAATAAAATGGGAAATCTTTCAGAGGTGGCACACTACCTTTAAGAAGAAAGTTTGTTCGACTCAGAATACAAAAACTGTTCGGTGCTCTCCACCGTACTGCCTTATGTGGCCTGACAGCCGGGCGGTAGGCCGTGGTCGGGCGCGGTGCATCGGCGGGTCGCCGCCACTGCTTACCGGAACACACCGCGCCTCCTGTATACTGTGTACATACAGCTGCCAGTGTCGGGGTTCCGGACAGTGCTTACTGCGTCCGCTGTCCGGACTCCGGACAGTGCTCGTCCCGTGCAGTCTGCGAGTTCTGGACAGCCCAGTGCTCCTGCAAAACCAGCTGTGTGGCGACCATTCTCGCTGCTGGGGCAATTATTAATCCCAATCACATTCAGTGCCGCGGTCTTATTCTGTTTTGACGGCTACCGGTATCGTGGCGTCGTTACCTTGAATAATTTCAATGCCCATTCGAGCCATTATACTCTTTTCTTCTGTCGTATCCCACCATCACGGTGTGTCGCTGAACGCTCTCGACACTGTGCGTAATCCATTCATATTCCACACTGGCGGAATGTATTTTATCACATTGGGGAGACGATACGGTCCCGATTTCCGTGCGCCGTTGTCCCCAGGGACCTCTCTGAGGGTGCCTCCGTTCCGCGGCGCTGGCAGCCACACTGCTGCGTCCTCCGTCACGTGCCTGTGGCCGATATGGCAGCCCATATGGCAGCCGGCCAGGTGACGTCACAGGCGGCGGTGACGTGGCATTTTCGGGATACATTGCGAAGAGAGGCGCGCGCTCGGTGTTTATTTATGCTCGGCCACTCTTTGGCCGGAAGGGGTGACACTGTGTTGCAACTGACCGTGCCGGGACAGGCAGGGGCGGGTCGGCCGGCCGCCGCCGCCGCCGCCGCCGCCGCCGCCACTGGGACGCGGCAGACCTGAGCCGGGCCGGTCTGTGGCCATGGTACGGCGCCGGCCGCCGGCTCGCCGCTCGGATAGGTTAGGTACTGGGGAGCGCCGGAGACAGATCTGTCTGTGTCGATGGTACGGGTGGGGCGGCGCCGCTGGGGGCGCCGGGCGGCGCCCAAGATGGGCTGGGTCTGTTTATGTCGCCTTAACTCGGCCGCTCGGCAGTCACTGCAGGCTGGCTGTAGCCGAGATATCAGGGTGCCGCGCCTTCTGCAAATACCTAACACTAATGTGGACCCCACCCCACCTCGGACACCGTCCCGACGCCGATTGGACTAACGGGTAGCCCGCACATACCTCAGAATACACAGCCATCTAGCGGACAACCCAAAACCGGAGCCCGGAACACTGGTCCACTCGACTCGTCGACACCGACTAGTCGGTGCAAAATGACCGACTGATATTCTTGCGCCGTAAAGTTCAGTGTACCCTGCGTGATAAGTGATTGATTTTGTGTTTGTCATTACACGAGTGTTTTGGCTGCTCGTGATGGCATTGAGACTACGATGACGTAGCGTAATGTACTTGTTATTTGTTATTACTATGTCGATCGATATTATGACCCGTACTGTCGTTGCACGCGTGTAAAAACAGGCAGCAGCTACCTCCCGTGTTATGCCTATCGTCTATGTTCTATGACTGACGTCTGCCCCCTACCGCTGTTCAGTCAGTCTCCAGTGTTCTGTGACTGACGAACTGCTCCCCTGTGGCTGTTCTCAGTCATGGGACGCGTACTTTTCGCGGACGGCTGGCGGCGCCGGCCCGGGCGCGGCCTACATGGCGCCGCCGTCTCTGGCCGCGCCGTCGGCCAACTCACTGCCCGTCTCGGCCCTGGTGGCGCCCATGGTGGGCGGCGCGGCGCGCGTGCCAGGCGCCGCCGCCAGCGAGAACACCATCGCCGACCACCTGAGCGTCGTCGGCGTCATCCGCAGCTACCAGGTGAGAGGGGAGGGGAGGGGAGAGAGGGAGAGAGAGAGAGAGAGAGAGAGAGAGAGAGAGAGAGAGAGAGAGAGAGAGAGAGGGGGGAGAGAGAGGAGAGACACGTGGTGATGTCCTGACAAGATGACACATGCTGCGATCCGATGTGATATAGTGTGACTCCGAGTGGAACCTGGTGCTACCTGACCTGACCTCTCCCTCAGACTCGCGATCACCTCCTGGCGCTGCGTGACCCCTGTGACCCAACCTCTGACCTGACCTGATCTTCTCAAATCTGTGGTCACCTAATGCCGATATGTGTCACTTTGTAACGCTGTGTGTCCCTTTGTGACCTCTGAGCTGACCTCTGACCTGACCTCTGCCCTCTCCCTCAGATTTGAGTTCACCTGGTGGTCCACCTGCCCCCCCCCCCCTGGAGATCTCACCTGATCTCTGACCTGACCTGACCTCCCCAGGTCAGCGGTCACCTGGTAGCCCGTCTAGACTCGCGGGAGATCTAACCTGACCTCTGCCCTTCCTTCTCAGATCCGCGGTCACCTGGTGGACCCGCTGGAGGTCTGACCTGATCTCTGACCTGACATCTGCCCTTCCGTCTCAGATCCGCGGTCACCTGGTGGCCCGGCTGGACCCGCTGGAGATCGAGCGAAAACCGGTGGAGACCGCCTCCGAGATCGTCGTGCGCGGCTACATGCAGAACTTCGGTACGTTACATCGCGGCTACATGCAAAACTTCGGTATGTAGCACCGCGGCTACATGCGTGACTACGGTACATAATGCCGCGGCTACATGCAAAACTTCGGTACGTAACACCACGGCTACATGCAAAACTTCGGCATGTCTGTCATCTGTGGAATTCACTACTACAGCGTTTACAGAAGAATGATGCCAATTGACATTCCATGATGGCCATGAAGCATACACAACAAACACGCCATACGGCGAGTGGGTCTGGGGCGTATTGTTTGTTTTCATTTCTCTCGGAACCTGTTTGAACGCTTGTATTCCTTTGCTTTGTTTTATTTCCGGTTTAGGTGTCACACATTCGACATTCCTCTCTCATTTAGATTTTATCGTTAACATACGTTTTATTAATAAGGCAAGTTTTTTTGTGTAAAGTCTGTTGTTATTGTCTCTATAAAACAAAGGATGCAGCACTCAAAGTTGTGAACAATAAATTCACCCGGCCTACAAATTACGACTTACCTGATTTTTATATATCGATTGTTCCGAAAGCTTTCTGATTTGTTTTGTCCTGCAGCCGGCCTGAACTCTGAGTCTCCTCTCCCCCCCCCCCCCCCAAATGAGCAGGACATGGACACGGTGTTCCAGCTGCCCTGACCTCTGACCTGACCTCTAACCTTTGGTCTGACCTCTGACCCTCCCTCAGATGAGCAGGACATGGACACGGTGTTCCAGTTGCCCTGACCTGTGACCTCTAACTGAGCCCTGGCCTGTAACTGACCACTGGCCTCTGACCTGACCTCTGACCTCTGACCTCTGACCTCTGACCTTCCACAGATGAGCAGGACATGGACACGGTCTTCCAGCTGCCGTCCTCCACCTTTATCGGCGGCCGCGAGAAGGCGCTGCCGCTCCGCGAGATCGTCAACCGGCTGGAGCAGGCCTACTGCAGGTGGGTTCCCCCTCTCCGTCAACCCCTCCCCTGTACTGGAACAGGCTCACTGCAGGGGTTTCTAGGTCCCCTCCCCCACTGGAGCAGGCCATCTGCAGGTGGGTCAGCTGCCGCGACCTCTCCCCTGTCCCTGGCCCTTCCTCCTTGGAGCAGGTAGGTAATTCAGCTCCCCCCCCCCCCCCGACCTGTCCCCTGTCCCTGTCCCTGTCCTCCACTGGAGCAGGCCTACTGCAGGTGGGTCAGCTGCCCCCGACCTGTCGTTCCCTGTCCCTGTCCCTTCCTCCTTTGGAGCAGGCCTACTGCAGGTGGGTTCCCGGGTCCTCTCCTCTGCTGGAGCAGGCCTGCTGCAAATTAGGTGACTCCGTCCCTTCCTGACCCATGTCTCCTGAATCCCGTGCCCTGTCTCCTGCCTCTCCCACTGGAGCAGGCCCACTACAGGTGACAGAAGCGTGGACTTGGTGCATAAGCCGGTCAGAGGCGCGGGAATTTTGACCTTCGACACGGCTGAAGTACGACGGCTATTGAACGTGTAAAATGCGCCTCAAAGACGTTAAGCTCTAGTGTTTTGAAATAGTACACTTCATACCAGATGACCTGGGCTTATTTGACTCGTTATAACAGTATTCCTTCTTGTCCGTCGAGTCATATTCTGACTGGCTTTTCAGAACGTCCAGGTTCGCTGCGGTCGGACGGAGCGCGTCGATCCCATCTCACCACGCTGCCCTTATTATAGGAGTATCGGCGTGGAGTACATGTACATCAACGACCTGGAGCAGTGCAACTGGATCCGTCAGAAGATCGAGAGTCCGGGCATCATGCAGTTCACCAACGACGAGAAGCGACTGATCCTGGCCCGCGTCGCCCGCGCCACTGGGTAAATAGGGGAGGAAGGGGGAAGGGGAAACGACTGAACCTGGCCCGCGTGGCCCGTGCCACCGGGTAAATAAGAGAGAGAGGGAGAGAAGGGCAGGAAGTGGAGAGTCGACTGAATATCCTGCAATCACTTATCATTGTTGCCGATCTCATCACACTTTACCTGTAGTTTACTCGCGCTTCCTCCTGTATTTCTGTGCTGCCTGTGCGCACTGTGCTGTACCCCCTACCGATCGCTGAATCGCCCGGCAGCGTCTGCTCAGCCTGTGGACGTGTCCAGTGTACCCGCCCTCCTCTCCGTGGTGGACTGGAGTCGCTCCTGGCTGGAGACCGACCTCTCCCCGCCGCTGACTGACCTCCCCTCTGTCCCCCTCCCTGGGCAGGCTGGAGTCGTTCAGGCTGCAGACTGATCCCCCCGTCTGCAGTCTGGAGCCGTTCCTGGCTGGAGACCGACCTCCCCCGCTGCTGACTGACCCCCCCCCCCCCCCCGTCTGCAGTCTGGAGTCGTTCAGGCTTCCTCCCCCCGCTGCTGACTGACCCCCCCCCCCCCCCCCGTCTGCAGTCTGGAGTCGTTCAGGCTCCCTCCCCCTCCCCCCGCTGCTGACTGACCCCCTCCCCCTCCCTCGGCAGGCTGGAGTCGTTCCTGGCCCGCAAGTTCTCCTCGGAGAAGCGGTTCGGCCTGGAGGGTGGTGAGGTGCTCATCCCGGCCATGAAACACATCATCGACGTCAGCTCAGCAATGGGAGTCGAGTCCTTCGTCATGGGTGAGTCAATCGAGTCCAGTCGAGTCGTTCGTCATGGGTGAGTCCGGAGTTGAGTCCGGAGTCGAGTCGTTCGTCATGGGTGAGTCCGGAGTCGTCCTTCGTCATGGGTGAGTACGGAGTCGTCCTTCGTCATGGGTGAGTAGGGCGTCGAGTTGGGAGTCCATCCCTCGTCATGGGTGAGATGTTGAGATGCTGTCGTCATGGTTGAGATGGCCCGTCATGCTCTGTGCTGGTCGGGCTGTCGGTATCTGCAATGTGTGCTCATATGATTTGCCGATCGTTCTTGAAGTTGATTTTATCCATCTCAGTCCGGTGACGTATTTCAGGCATTTATATCCCGAAAAGTCTCAGCTTTCGGTCCGTTCTGTCTCAAGTATACCGCCCCTATGTGTCAGTCATTTCTCTCCCATTACGTCTCTGACTCTCTTTTCTGTCCCTATCCGTTGTGTCTTAGGTTTGTTTCGCCGTTATGTCCCAGCTGTCTGTCTCATCTGTGCCTCTCTGTATGTCTCAGGTATGCCCCACCGCGGCCGTCTGAACGTACTGGCCAACGTGTGCCGGAAGCCTCTGGAGCAGATATTCGCCCAGTTTGCCGCGCTCGAGGTCGCCGACGAGGTAATGTAGGCTGCAGTCTGTACTGGTGTCACCATATGCCGCATCTCAGTGAAATAAAGCCGCCTACCGGTGCTCGAAACACATATTTATCATCCGCAGTTTTAGACAGTAGCTTATGATTGTACCCATATCTGACTATTGTGTGTGTCAGCTTAGCTGATTGGCCGTCTAACCTGACGTGCTGACCTAGTTCACGTTCTGGTGACCTTTGATAAGTCCACCGTCCGCGGACCTGGCTCTGGGGGTCTGACCCCCTTGTGACGTCATTTTCTCAGGGCTCCGGTGACGTCAAATACCACCTGGGCACGTACATCGAGCGTCTGAACCGAGTCACCAACAAGAACGTGCGCCTGGCCATTGTGGCCAACCCCAGCCACCTGGAGGCCGTCGACCCCGTGGTGCAGGGCAAGGTCAAGGCCGAGCAGTTTTACCGCGGCGACTCGGACGGCAACAAGGTCAGAGAATATGCCGAGGGCAGGGGAGGGACAGGGGCAGGGGCAGATAATATACCTAGGTACATGGGGAGGGAAGGAGGGCCATGGGACGGGTACAAGGTCAAGGCCGAGCAGTTCTACCGCGGCGACTCGGACGGAAACAAGGTCAGAGAATGTACCTGCAGGGGGAGGGACAGGGGCAGGGAATATACCTAGGTACGGCTGTTGCGAGATTAAGCGGTAGGTTTTGCACTTTTACATTTCCGGTTATATCTCAGAAACTAATCGATCTACTATGAAGCCATTTTACACGATCATGGCCGGCTTGTAACCCAACAAGTCGCTCGCATCTTCAACACTTAAAAGCTTAAGACTACGAAGATATAGCCTGAAGTACACTAAATTTTCTAGGTGCAAAACCTACCGCTAAAACCCGCGAGACCTGTACATGGGGAGGGAAGGAGGGGCCAGGGGACGAGTACAAGGTCAGAGAATGTACCGATAGCAGGGGGAGGGGGAGGCCGGCAGGGGCAGAGAATGTACCTAGGTACATGGGGAGGGAAGGAGGGGCCAGTGGACGGGTACAAGACCAGGGCCGAGCAGTTCCACCGCGGCGGCTCGGACGGCAACAAGGTCAGATACAGGGTTGGAGACGGAAACGGGGTCAGACGCCGGGCAGAGAGGGAGGGAGAAGAAGAGTGGCGGGGAGAGGTCACAGATGACTGGGAGAGGCGGGAAGGGTGGTGGGTGGCGATAGAAGGCGGGAGCCGGCTGGGCAAGACAGCCGTCATGGACAAGCATGCATATATTTGATGATTCTGATTTCTGTGCCGACTATCGGATTTTCATCATCAATAATCCGATCTTTTATTTGAATTAAGTTAGCGTAGATCTGTGTGATATGATTCCGCCGCCTTACCGAAGTTAATCAGCTTGCGTCAATATTTCACTACCCCTCATGGAAGCCCTGCATACGAGTGTTTTCTCTGCGGTCGGCCGCTGTGTGCCGCTGTCATGGTGAGCTCAGAGACGCCGCCCGGCCCAGCCACACCCTCGCTGAGCTGGGCGCTGCTCCGCTGAGGCTGACCCCGTCTCCCCTCTGCAGGCGATGTCGATCCCGCTGCACGGAGACGCGGCGTGCCCCGGACCGTACTGACCCCTGCCGGGAGGCTCTGACCCCCCCCCCCTCTCCCCCGTCTCCCTCCACAGGCGATGTTGATCCTGTTGCACGGAGACGCGGCGTACCCCGGTACTCACCCCTGCCGGGAGGCTCTGACCCCCCCGCCCCGTCTCCCCTCTACAGGCGATGTTGATCCTACTGCACGGAGACGCGGCGTGCCCCGGTACTGACCCCTGCCGGGAGGTTCTGACCCCCCCCCCCTCGTGCCCATCATCAGGCGATGTCGATCCTACTGCACGGAGACGCGGCGTGCCCCGGTACTGACCCCTGCCGGGTGGTTCTGAGTTCTGACCCCCCTCCCCGTCTCCCCTCTGCAGGCGATGTCGATCTTGCTGCACGGAGACGCGGCGTACCCCGGTACAGACCCTGCCGGGTGGTTCTGACCCTCCCCCTCTCCCTCTACAGGCGATGTCGATTCTGCTGCACGGAGACGCGGCCTTCTCTGGACAGGGAGTCGTCTACGAGACCTTCCACTTGTCCGACCTGCCGGCCTACACCACACACGGAACGATACACATCGTGGTCAACAATCAGGTATGTACGAATATAGGGACACCGTCACACTAACACCTACTGACACATACTGGTACTGACACCGACTGACACTGACACCTTCTGACCACTGACACCTACCTGACCTGCCGGCCTACACCACCTACGGAACGATACACATCGTGGTCAACAACCATGTACCGATATACTGACACTGACAAGTTTTACGCTGACACCTTCTGACATCTACTGACACGCTGATATAAACCTGCACAGCGTCCTGTGTGGATCACAGCATCGTTCTCGTATCGTGACCACATTGCTGCGTGCTTAACAGACACACTACTACGCATCCATAACGGGGCTCAGTCATACGCAGCCACAAGCTGCTTGTGGGTCGGTGTCGACCGGACTGGGCAGTCGCAGACATGAACAGAACAATGCTGCTGGGTTATCTAATTATCTGACAGCTGGCGTCATTTGCGACAGAAAAGTTTGTTTGTTTTGTTGGGTTAGGCCTTTTCGGTCTGACAAGACCATTTCAGAGCCGGGAGGATGATAGAATATAGGGGGAGACATTGGTCTGGGCAGGCACCCTAGTGAGTCGCCGGGGCTGAGCCCGTCCAGAGGACAGGCCACCCAGCTCCAAGGCACTCACTGCACCCGGCTACGGGGTGCGCTCCCGCGGGAGCAGCGGTGCCGCTCCCTCGGGAGCAGCCCGCATGAGATAAAGTTGCCTGTCCAGCCCGGAAGGGGGTTGCGGCGTGGAGGAGAAGGATTTCAGTATCCTGAGGATCAGGGATGCGGAGCCGTGGAAATTTCAGACGGCTCCGGCTCCGGCTCCGGCTCCGGAGAAAAAATCGGCTCCGGCTCCGGCTCCGGCTCCGGTTGAAATGTTATGGCGGCTCCGGCTCCGGCTCCGGCTCCGAGTAAAATGGTCCGGCTCCGGCGGCTCCGGCTCCGGCGGCTCCGGCTCCGACTCAGTACATCCCCTATGCAATCAATTAAATACGGGTGGAATAAAAATTGGATGGGTTATACGCGTTACTCTTTGCCATGACCGGCTCATCGCGTCCCCGCGCAAACGCACCTCGGAGAGAACTGGCAGAACAAAGGACTAGGAAGCGATGGCATTGGAAACGCAGTCGCCGCGAATCGGAGTTCACTGAACCATCGTAAGCTGACACCCGTCTCGGCTGCATTGGGGGGGGGAGGGGGGAAGAGACGGTGCTGGGAGTCGCAATCCACTGCACTGGCTTCAAAACAATGGCCGTCACCTGATGACCGGTCCTCATGTTCTGGGGATGCAGTAGACGTGGGGGGGGGAGGGGGAGGAGCAGACAGGAAGTTGATTGCTTACTGTGGGATACTGGGGATATTCGGCTTTTTCATTCACTTGATGGCCCATGACGTACCTACTTATCATATGTTGTACTGCCTTGTACTGTCAAACCGAACTAGGTCAATTATTTTTTTTCCTCTTCAAAAAATAAAAAGGAGCCGGAGTCGCCCCCTTTTTTGGCGGCTCCGGCTCCGGCTCCGGCTCCGGGCTATATTGTTTCACGGCTCCGGCTCCGGCTCCGGCTCCGGGCAAAATATGCCGGCTCCGGCGGCTCCGGCTCCGACTCCGGCTCCGGCTCCGCATCCCTGCTGAGGATAGAAGCACGGAACGGTGATCACACACAGAAAAGTCACCTTCTGTTCTTGGCAGTCACTTAGTCTGTTGACCTCTGAGCCACATTCCCTCTTTCAGACCGGTCTCAAGACGGACCGGCGCCTCACGCGCTCCTCGCCCTACTGTGACCTCTCTGACCTCTGGCCCGTGACCTATCTGACCTCTCTGACCTGTGACCTCTCCCCACAGATCGGCTTCACGACGGACCCGCGCCTCACCCGCTCGTCTCCCTACTGCACGGACGTGGCGCGCGTGGTGAACGCGCCCATTTTCCACGTGAACGGCGACGACCCGGAGGCCGTGATGCACGTGTGTCAGATCGCCGCGGAGTGGCGCAACACCTTCCACAAGGACGTCGTCATCGACATCGTGAGTCGCAACGGCGGCACTATCGAACGGCTAGGCGGAGGGGGAGCGGGGAACTGGGGGAGGTCGTTTATATTTTGTGTCCTATGTAATTGCTACTGGATGCCATCCTATATAATTGCCACTGGATGTCCCGAAAAAAGCAATGGTGCTAAAAAATCAAGTCTTTTTTATGTGCAAGAGAACTCCATGTTATGAGTCGTGTTTTGAGTCGTAAAAGTATGGTAACGAATTGGTATCATTTTTGTGTAAAATCCCGCGGACTTTGTTTCGATTGCCCTTTATCAATGAATTTAGCAAGCTGCATAATTCACAGTAAGTCATTGTGTTCTCCGATACGTTCCTCTCGGCCACTATGGAGCTCAGCTGACTGGTCCATGGTGGGGAGCAGTGTTCGCCACGGGCCGGGCCAGCCCAACGGGCCATGGGCCGGGCTGGGCTACGGGCTGGGCCGGGCCCCCAAATATCATTAGTTAACGGGCTATGGACGGGCCGGGCCAAAAGCTTTGTGCAGTGCACTATGGGTTTTGCGACTAATGTCAATTTAAGAAAATTTGGAAACTGATGCAAACAAAACCCACTGGGAAAATACAAAACCTAAACCAAATTTAAGCAATGTGAAAGAAAACCTACTTGATATTGAATTTTGGGAATCTTGAGAATTATCCAATATCACATCATGTCACACATAGGAGGGTTTTCATAAAAATTCCGCAACCAAAAAGATCAGAGAATCTCTAGCATCATTAGTTGTAATAAAAGTTAAAATGTAGTCATCAGAATAACTTACTTAGCACTACAACTCCAAAAACTAAGAAGCCACTCAACAATGATGGGCTACAGGGCTACATTAAGTTTAACACTTATATATGGCGATAGTGAGACAATTCCAACACAGTCTTTTTTCCTTCACCGACGGCTTTTTAACAAACAGAACCTTAAAACTAGGATACTCACAAAACACACTGTAAGTAACGAGGAACTCTACAGAGTATTTCGCGATGAAAGCTTCTTTAAATGTCCATAAATTTGTCAAAATAAATCACAACAAACCAGCCCCTTCTCAACAAAATATGCAATCATGGCGGCGGCGCTATGTTTATGTGGCGGCATCTAGGTAGTATACACAACAGTATATCAAATAAATACGTTTTTTAAGTAAGTATCAAGGTGAAAAACAAAATTAAACAAATAAAAAATAAAACTTTAATCACGAAGTCTGAAAACTCGATGTAACGGAAGTTAGCAGGGATTCAGCAGGGGTTCAGCAGGGATTCAGCAGGGATCGACGGCCCCTACGATTTCGCTGAATTTTGGTGGAGAGGTGCAGAATGGTGTCCTCTATCGAAAATCCTAGTGCCAAAATGCGGGGAATCCATCAGGGGGGCCACAAATCCCAAAAAACAGTATGCCCTCAGGGCACAATCGACGAACTTTGAAAACCCTACTTCTAGCCGTCCAAACAGCTAAAAATGCACGTCATTCGAAAGAGGACAAAATTTTACGTACAACGGTACCAAATTTAGGGGGCTAGCGCCCCCCTGAACCGAACAAAACAGCTTCAAATATATGGGCCCGGGAGTATGCCCTCGGGGCATAAATAAACGTTTTCAACAATTTCAGGCCTATAACCTCGACAAAATCCAGCAATATGCACATCATTGAAAAGAGCGTAATTTCCCAAACAAAAAACCCAAGTAACATTTTTCGATGGGGCCCACCTGGGGCCCACGGGACCCAATTGAAATTTGGGGCCCAATGGGGCGGCCCCTACGATTTTCTTCAAAATTTGCACAGACACTCTCCTGGGCTCCCTCTTCAATCTGGCTGAAGAAACCTACCGGGGAATCCAAAGGAAGGGGCCCAAAGAGGGCCCCAAAGAGGCCCTTTCTAAGTATTGCCCCTAATTTCGCGACCAACCCCGGCAATATGCACATCATTGGAAAGAGCGTAATTTCCCAAACAAAAAACCCAAGTAACATTTTTCGATGGGGCCCACCTGGGGCCCACGGGACCCAATTGAAATTTGGGGCCCAATGGGGCGGCCCCTACGATTTTCTTCAAAATTTGCACAGACACTCTCCTGGGCCCCCTCTTCAATCTGGCTGAAGAAACCTACCGGGGAATCCAAAGGAAGGGGCCCAAAGAGGGCCCCAAAGAGGCCCTTTCTAAGTATTGCCCCAAATTTCGCGACCAACCCCGGCAATATGCACATCATTGGAAAGAGCGTAATTTCCCAAACAAAAAACCCAAGTAACATTTTTCGATGGGGCCCACCTGGGGCCCACGGGACCCAATTGAAATTTGGGGCCCAATGGGGCGGCCCCTACGATTTTCTTCAAAATTTGCACAGACACTCTCCTGGGCCCCTTCTTCAATCTGGCTGAAGAAACCTACCGGGGAATCCAAAGGAAGGGGCCCAAAGAGGCCCTTTCTAAGCATTGCCCCTAATTTCGCGACCAACCCCGGCAATATGCACATCATTGGAAACAGCGTAATTTCCCAAACAAAAAACCCAAGTAACATTTTTCGATGGGGCCCAATGGGGCGGCCCCTACGATTTTCTTCAAAATTTGCACAGACACTCTCCTGGGCCCCCTCTTCAATCTGGCTGAAGAAACCTACCGGGGAATCCAAAGGAAGGGGCCCAAAGAGGGCCCCAAAGAGGCCCTTTCTAAGTATTGCCCCTAATTTCGCGACTAACCCCGGCAATATGCACATCATTTGAAAGAGCGTAATTTCCCAAACAAAAAACCCAAGTAACATTTTTCGATGGGGCCCACCTGGGGCCCACGGGACCCAATTGAAATTTGGGGCCCAATGGGGCGGCCCCTACGATTTTCTTCAAAATTTGCACAGACACTCTCCTGGGCTCCCTCTTCAATCTGGCTGAAGAAACCTACCGGGGAATCTAAAGGAAGGGGCCCAAAGAGGGCCCCAAAGAGGCCCTTTCTAAGTATTGCCCCTAATTTCGCGACCAACCCCGGCAATATGCACATCATTGGAAAGAGCGTAATTTCCTCTTTCCAATAATGTGCATATTGCCGGGGTTGGTCGCGAAATTAGGGGCAATACTTAGAAAGTGCCTCTTTGGGGCCCTCTTTTGGCCCCTTCCTTTGGATTCCCCGGTAGGTTTCTTCAGCCAGATTGAAGAGGGGGCCCAGGAGAGTGTCTGTGCAAATTTTGAAGAAAATCGTAGGGGCCGCCCCATTGGGCCCCAAATTTCAATTGGGTCCCGTGGGCCCCAGGTGGGCCCCATCGAAAAATGGTACTTGGGTTTTTTGTTTGGGAAATTACGCTCTTTCCAATGATGTGCATATTGCCGGGGTTGGTCGCGAAATTAGGGGCAATACTTAGAAAGGGCCTCTTTGGGGCCCTCTTTGGGCCCCTTCCTTTGGATTCCCCGGTAGGTTTCTTCAGCCAGATTGAAGAGGGGGCCCAGGAGAGTGTCTGTGCAAATTTTGAAGAAAATCGTAGGGGCCGCCCCATTGGGCCCCAAATTTCAATTGGGTCCCGTGGGCCCCAGGTGGGCCCCATCGAAAAATGTTACTTGGGTTTTTTGTTTGGGAAATTACGCTCTTTCCAATGATGTGCATATTGCCGGGGTTGGTCGCGAAATTAGGGGCAATACTTAGAAAGGGCCTCTTTGGGGCCCTCTTTGGGCCCCTTCCTTTGGATTCCCCGGTAGGTTTCTTCAGCCAGATTGAAGAGGGGGCCCAGGAGAGTGTCTGTGCAAATTTTGAAGAAAATCGTAGGGGCCGCCCCATTGGGCCCCAAATTTCAATTGGGTCCCGTGGGCCCCATGTGGGCCCAATCGAAAAATATTACTTGGGTTTTTTGTTAAGGAAATTACGCTCTTTCCAATGATGTGCATATTGCCGGGGTTGGTCGCGAAATTAGGGGCAATACTTAGAAAGGGCCTCTTTGGGGCCCTCTTTGGGCCCCTTCCTTTGGATTCCCCGGTAGGTTTCTTCAGCCAGATTGAAGAGGGGGCCCAGGAGAGTGTCTGTGCAAATTTTGAAGAAAATCGTAGGGGCCGCCCCATTGGGCCCCAAATTTCAATTGGGTCCCGTGGGCCCCAGGTGGGCCCCATCGAAAAATGTTACTTGGGTTTTTTGTTTGGGAAATTACGCTCTTTCCAATGATGTGCATATTGCCGGGGTTGGTCGCGAAATTAGGGGCAATACTTAGAAAGGGCCTCTTTGGGGCCCTCTTTGGGCCCCTTCCTTTGGATTCCCCGGTAGGTTTCTTCAGCCAGATTGAAGAGAGGGCCCAGGAGAGTGTCTGTGCAAATTTTGAAGAAAATCGTAGGGGCCGCCCCATTGGGCCCCAAATTTCAATTGGGTCTCGTGGGCCCCAGGTGGGCCCCATCGAGAAATGTTACTTGGGTTTTTTGTTTGGGAAATTACGCTCTTTCCAATGATGTGCATATTGCCGGGGTTGGTCGCGAAATTAGGGGCAATACTTAGAAAGGGCCTCTTTGGGGCCCTCTTTGGGCCCCTTCCTTTGGATTCCCCGGTAGGTTTCTTCAGCCAGATTGAAGAGGGGGCCCAGGAGAGTGTCTGTGCAAATTTTGAAGAAAATCGTAGGGGCCGCCCCATTGGGCCCCAAATTTCAATTGGGTCCCGTGGGCCCCAGGTGGGCCCCATCGAAAAATGTTACTTGGGTTTTTTGTTTGGGAAATTACGCTCTTTCCAATGATGTGCATATTGCTGGATTTTGTTGATGTTATAGGCCTGAAATTGTTGAAAACGTTTATTTATGCCCCGAGGGCATACTCCCGGGCCCATATATTTGAAGCTGTTTTGTTCGGTTCAGGGGGGCGCTAGCCCCCTAAATTTGGTACCGTTGTACGTAAAATTTTGTCCTCTTTCGAATGACGTGCATTTTTAGCTGTTTGGACGGCTAGAAGTAGGGTTTTCAAAGTTCGTCGATTGTGCCCTGAGGGCATACTGTTTTTTGGGATTTGTGGCCCCCCTGATGGATTCCCCGCATTTTGGCAC